ATAAATTAAAAAATAATTTCTTAATTCAAGGATGCATCTCATCGACGAGCGTTGTGGTCACGCTTAATTGCACGATGCAGATAAAGTCATTACGCGTAATCCGTTCCGGCGTATATCGACGAGAAGCTCGATCGCGTCTCATCGTTTCGACGGTTCCGGCATGACGTGAATTTTAATGCCGGTGACGTCGCGGCGCCCCTATATTCATGTAATGCGGACACAGATTTAATAATGGAATGGTTAGTGGATTTCGTGCTAACGCGTTGCAATTTTTGGGAGAAGCGCCCCGAAGAGAGAGGACCGGAATAGAGAAGAACACGTCGGGCGACAACTCTGGCGAATACGACGTCCCCGGAACGCGGATGAGTACGTGAGTGGCATGTGTAAAAGGGCGAAGAAGGGCGGTTGGGGCACCCTACGAAGAATACCCTTCGCGAGCACGTAATCTATTTGTCGGGCGACCGCAAGACCGTGCGACGTTACAGAATCGTCTGACTTCGAAGAGACACGCCGTGAAAATGTGAAACCGATGCAACGAGCTCGCAAAGACGGAAGGAAACGGTGTCTCGTGGTGCAAACCGCGAAAAAAATCTATTCTCGCCGTTAGATAAGAGAAGAGAGCTTCGGGAATTCGAGACATTCGAGACGACACGAAAGAAGCTTCGCTTGAATAGGTCTGAGAAGAGACCGCTGTTAGAGATAAATTCCGACGGATCGGGCGCAATATGTATGTAAAGGAAAATCCTAGGGGGCACAGCCGCGATCGACATTAACCGGCTCGTAGCCATTTCGAGATGGTGTAAAACCGAAAGTAACACTAACGTAAATGTCGTATTTCTGGTCGTAAGAAATTCTATCTTCGAATGTGCGCGGGCATTTACGGTTTTGTACTTGAGCCACCATCGCCATTGAGAAAGTCGAAACCGAGCTGAAACGACTCGCCATAACAACGTGAGAGACTTTTATCGTCACGCGTGCAGATCCATGCAAATGTTCATCACGCATATTTAAAGAGCCACTGGCGATATTTGGTGCTATAATGCATTTCGCGCCGTCTATCCTCGCGAACGAAGGGGAGCGGCAAAAGGAAGAGAGACAAGAGTCACCGAGTGAACTTGTAAAACTTCCGAAAGTAGCATTTAATTTTAATCAGCGCCACGAGGACCATCAAGATGGTATCCGTTCAAGCACGTCGTCGACCGTCCGAATGGATTCCTGGCGCTAGCGTGTCGCCCTCGGGTTCTTATTCTCGTCAATTCGTGGAATAACGGGCCATAAAAGGCGTCGAATTCGGGGCCGAAGACGTGCTAAAGTTTGGGGCCCGATCGACGGCGACGGGTCGCGCTGAAAAGTACCCGGGACGAATGGATCTCGGCGGGGCCCGAGAGATCCGATGGATAGAGCCGCTCGCAGGCCGCGCGAATGGCTTGCGGAACCAGCTCGTGCATATGCATATGCGAGCAACGCGGATTTGCATTCTAATTGTCGGACGATCTGACAAACGTGCCATTACGACTCCGTTCGAATATCCGCGCGATAGCGGCTGAGGAGACTTCTGCATCACGGAACGAGGTGCCAAAGAGTCCTCGGAACGGCCGAGAACGGTCAATAATCGAAAAAGTAAGGGTCTCTTATCTTATCCATCCCGGTCGGTCTTGCGAAGGCAATAGCGTCTCCGATGCGTCCGTTTAATACGCACAAGTATACGTGTTATCGCGCAGGAAATGGACACAAAGATGCGGGCGTTCTGACAACGCGCCGGCCGGTCGTTACGAATCTAGTTATACCGAATTAATTCAAACAACGACCGACACATTTTATATCAACCATCTCCCACGAAACCATATCTGTTTCATTAATGCATATCATGATCAGACAGATGCCAAGATGACTGTGATAGAAAGAGAGAAAGAAAGAGAGAAAAAGGGCGAATTAATGCTTATTTTAAAATGGTAGGAGACCATCGCGTAAAATATAAACGATATAAAGAGATGGCGAGCAAATCGAGACAACATCTACGCACAAATCGTTTTATCTTATCGTCGGACCTTCCCCAAAATTGCCACTGTTACGTCAGATCCAATCGGCCTTAGTATCCAATAAGTATAAACACACGCCGTTAATCGCATCTTGCCCCTAAAATTTAATTCCAACCTTTCACGGCTACTACCGAATTTTTTAATTAACCGCCCATCCGTGATTGATTTACCGCCGCGCTCAATTTGAGCCGCTTGTAATACACGCCGTTCATAATCATATTTTTATAAGGATGCACAGTACGAAATTAATTTCCCTCGGACACGACGCGTCGGCACAAAATTAATTTCATGCGAATCGTCGAACGCGAACGCATGTATTAAATTAGTATACTCCTCCTTCAATTTCCCTTACGTTCGCTTATCTAACATCGTATAACGCGGAGTAGGTACACATATGTTTAATGAGGAGTGTTCTTATCCTCGTCAGAATTTCGAAGCAATTAGTCCTGATACTGTTAGCCACGTACAGAAGTGCGATAACGTCCGTAAGCGAGCTAAATCATCTTCCATTTTCATATTAACATTTTTCTTTCGGCCTATCTACATTATTACAAAGTATTAAATTATACACGAGTCTCGTAACGCGATGGGAATCATAGATCGACGTTACCCTGACGTCTATCTACGATATCTATAGATGATCGTTCGAGTACCGTTCGATTAATGCACACGCTTCAGCGATCTACCTAGCCACCGTGTACCCTATCCATAAGAGGCTCCTTGCCGTGAGCGTTAATGAATAGTTCAAGTCACGATTAGTAATTACACTTTAAACGTCGCGGTGATGCCCGATCGGTGGCGAGTATTTTATGTACACTTCTTATCGCGCAGTGTCGTCGAAAGATTCCTTTTTATGTACTCTAGGACGAAGGAGGCAAAGCCGCGAAGCACAATGCCGAACATTATGCGTGCAGCGACTCTGATGCGCGAGTTAAAAATTAACTTCAGCTTCCTCTCGCGCGTTCTATCCTCGTGTCTCTCTCTTTCTCCTCGGTCATATTTTTCTTCCTCGATCGCGCTTCCCTCCGTCCATTTCGTCGGCTCGCCCTGCACGTGTGCGCGATCGTAAAAAAATGCAACTAATTAACGAGTAAAAAGTGGGGCCATCGGAAAGTTTTTTGCTCGCGACCGCGAGAAAAGGTCCGACTGAACTGGATGAGCCTAACCGTGCTATCGCGCCTTCTTCGTTTCACTTCTTCAATAACCGTCGGTTGGCTGGCGAGTGGATCACCGCTCAAAAAGTGGAGCGCATTCTCTTACGATGAGACCGTCTACGCTTTCGTTTCAGTATACATTCCATCAAATTTGTATGAATCAAATAATAAGTAAATAATATTGTCTATACACGCAATAAATATCCGAAATACGTTTTTCATTTTTCAATAAACATGACTGCGTTATTTAAATTAAATTGGTAACGGTGTTTATATATCGCCAACGTCATAAATTTTATGAAGGCTTAACGATTAATCGGTAATACTATTATTACATGCCATTGACATAATTTGGTTTGATTGGATGGCACTAAAGTACTAATGAGATGGCTGTAACGATATCTATCATTCCATAGAGATTGATTATATGAGTTTTTGTGCTTAGCTAAAGGATTAATGATAGCTGCATGAGTTGTTAAAGACTACCTGTAGAAAGATGAGAGCAATTCGTTCAAGATTATTATTATTCATACGTCGTTTATCCTCCGCGTTTCTTATTATTTGATATTATTAACAGTCGCCATGTCGTTATTCCATTATGCCGTAGCAAAAGCAATACAAAATATCAATATATACGGATATATTATTCTTGGGGAATCATCACATTTTATCATCTATGCATTAAATACTGTTTTAAAAACTACTGGAGTGAGTACAGCATATAACGAGTGTAAAATGCACACAACATGTGTAGTATAATTAATGTACGTAACGTTGAGAAAAGACATTAGCTCGAGAAAAGGCAGGCGTAAATTGGCATTTTCAAAGGTTTGATAAATCTCAAATTAATTATACGTGCATTGCAATGTTCGAGTAGAACGAGCAACTTGTTTACAAAATATTGCGTAAAAGAAAAAGAAAGGATCGTTTAACGACGTTAATGCGGTTAACGACAGATCTTCAGAAAGCTCGATCTCGTCGAGCGCCATCCGCGCGATCCGCCTCGCTTGCAATCTAATTAATCTAATTAAGCCGAAGCGCCTCGTTACTGCGGCGCGCGCCGCACGCACAAGAGGGAATTAAGAAGAAATGTAAGAGAGTGGCTATTGCGCTCGTAACAGATCGGTAACGCAAGATCGTCTCACCGATCCTCGTCGTTCAGACCGTGTCGCCGACAGCCGACAAGATCCATTAAGAGGATTATTATCGAATCGAGCAATCGCCGCTCTTCCTCTCTTACGTACCTAGTTTAAAATGTTTTTTTTTCTGCGGCCCGCAAATATTATGCTCGCAATGTGTTCAAATTTAATCGCGTTTAATTTATTCTGCCAAGTAGAGCAGGTGACGAAGTAAAAGCGGCTGAAATTAAATCACGCAAATTTGGAAAACATTTTTACATTTATGGATTTCACGTGCGATGTTTAATTTTAATTTCACCTCTTCACATCCCGGAATTTCATATTAACCATTTTTAATTATGTCCGTGACCGTATCACATGTGTGCTCACATGTGCATATAATTATGTTTCGTGTCAGCATTAGTAATCTCACGACACGCACGTAAACATTATGAGCGATTACGACAATCGACGAGTTTTTTTTCCCCTCAAATTCCAGGAATGATTACGGAAACGTGGGTTTTTCTCGAGTAAAAACTGCTAATCTAACAAATCGCTTCATTAATTATGATAATTAATCCTCACGCAACCGATACGAGCAGGAGATTTCTACATACCTCAGACAAGATGGAACTATTCTGTTACGCTTACCGATAATACCTGTCTTGGTGAGAGATAGATTCACTTACCCATTGCATCTGAAACAAAAATAGAAATACTAATTTTTAGTACAGGTCAGTTAAAACAGATATACAGATATAGTGCTAATTAAAGAATTAAATTAGAAGAGAATACTCTCTACGTTACTATTACCAATACTTAAATTGAAATATCCACGCTCTTATTCATCTTGTATAAGATCACGGAGGTCAATTACTTCCAATTTTTTATTTAAAGGAGCCAAAATTAAATAAAATTAAATATAAAATTGAAGCAATTAAATATATACACATTTTCATTTCTACATCATACTGAATATTCGCAAGATATTGACGTAATTACACACGGACGTTACATCAATACTTACGCCTCGTCATCGTTCCGCTGAAGTTCACGGTATATGCATAGTTCGCGGTTCCGAGTCTTCGGTAAGAGCCGCACCGAATGACTTTATGTACAACGCGCAACAAGAAGACCGCGCTAACACACGGCTAATTCCGCGTTAATTGCCCTACGGCGCTAAAGAGCGTTTCAGAGGGGGGAAAAAAGTTCGCTTTCCGTGCAAAAGGGGATTAAGAGCGTGAATGGCATTCTTCTCGGTCGTGATTTCATGCGAGGAGAGATGAAAGTCGAAATTACCGCGGATGCACTTTGTCCGGTGAACGCTGGAAAAAAAATGCCGACTCCTCCCTCAGGTACGGTCGAAAGGTATTGCGACGCGAGCGAGAAACACTCAACTACTCTTTAGCCGGGGCGTACAATTCGTATCGTTTCTATTAAATAAAGAATCGGGGGGTCTAATTGCCTTATTGTGAGCGTGCGAGTCACGTAAGCACGCGCGGCGGCCGTCACGATAAATCATAGCCAAAGACCGGAGTCGGCGCTCGAAACAATCGAGCGCGACTGAATGAAACCTTGCGAAACAAACGACCGTGCTTCGTGACGCTGCCTAATATCCGTTCTTACTAATCGCTCGCTGTAATTCGTAATATCGTTCGGGGCGGAGCGGCCATGGCGTTCCAAAGAGTCGCCGTGGGTTGACCCGAGAGATAGCCGAGAAGAAAGATAGATCTCTCGTAAGAGACAACGCGAGTGAAACAGAGAGGAGGAAGGGAGGGACGCAAATATGTACCGCGTGACACAGAATCGACGGAACAAGTTTCAAACGCGCATGAAAATTAAGAACAGGCGTCGATATAGAACTAGGCAGCGTGCAACTTTATCTAAACTAGAAGCCCCGCACGACCCCGGTCACACTCGTAACTCCACGAGATAATCTCCGGCGTGGGCAACAGATACACACACCGCAAACTCCTCGCGTCCATACCGTATAGTATCTACCTTCGTCTATCTCTATTTATTATCCTTAGGCGCGACTATGTGTCTCCGCCGAGATAGCCGACACTTCTCGCGTGTGGAGCAGCACATGTATACACATGCAATATGCAACGGCACGCAGATAGGTATATATAGGTATAGGTAGAGCATGGGTATTTTTCGTGCGCTCCGTCCTCTCTTCCACGGCCGGTTGCACGCTCCAAGCACGGCGGAGTTCGTGTCCGGGCTGACTAACCCATTAGCGCCTTGGCTGCCGATCGACATGGCGAATCGATCGATAAAAGCCACGCCGAACACTTCCTGCCGATAGGAAGGCTCCGTCGTTTCTCTCGCAGCCGATCGACCGAGGAAAGAAAAATTGCTTTAGCCGCAGTTATCGCTAAATGAATAGCAGGCGCGCTGGAATCTTGCACACCAAGTGGCGTAATATATTGGACGATGTATACCTTAATTTAAAGTCGCATATTCTATTTATTTTTATATTTTTTAAATTTTTTTGTCGAGGACGATATAAAGATTAATTTAAAAAATGAAAAAATCGATTATTTATTCTGACAAATTATGCCAACGCGCTTTCTAAAGAAAAATGATTTTATCTATATTTAAATAATGGCAAGCTTGCAGAACTGCAAGAATAATTAGTTTTTTTTTGCTAATCTAGTTGTACAGCAAGTACTGTCAGCGTTTTCAGTCTCGGAAAGAAAATAACTTTGTTCAACTTTAAATTATTACAAGCTTTTGCAAATGGAAACGCGCAGATCGTACAGCGGTTATTCTTGCAATTGTCTCACGAGGATGCCAATAGTTCACCTGTCGCGAAAATAGAAGTAGCAGTGGTAGGTGGAAGTGTAAACGAAGAAATAAATTAATGATTAAAAGAATTCGCGAGACACACATGATAGGGTATTACGGGAAGTGTGATAGTTGGCCGCGTACCTGGTAAACATTACCGATAAAATACGCGGTAAATATAATAAATGAGGTAATGACAACAGTCGGCCATTATAAATCTAGTGACAGTTGTTGCTACCGTTGCCAAAGAAGAGATCTGCTCAAGTGACGCAAAGCCGATTTATCGATATCATTATTTGAGATCCAAACATATCCAATGGTGAGGACAATAACCTGGTGCTTTCTTATTACACTTCATGTTATAATATAAACAGAACAAATTTCATCAAACGACATTCCATGACATGAAATGTATCTTTGCCTCTCGCCAAAACATTAATATATTATTGTATTTTATTTACGAGACTACTGTCCCACGCGCGTCACATTAAATTTGTTTCAACACAAATCCTAATTAAATTACGAAATCACGTAAATTTAGGAGATCAAGCGGATATCGATATCATAAAGAAAAATTCAGAAGCCCGGACAAATCTTTACGTATAATAATTTCATTTAAAAAATATTTGTCATTTGTTTAAAATTAACGAATAGAATATTAGAATGACGTTTTCTTAAGAAATTCCTTCTCGAAAATAACTCGATACTTCGGGCTACGGAAACTTCCCGTCCGTCCCTGTTCACAAGCATACAGACAATGAAGCGTAGGGAGCAGCAACCGGCGGCTAAATTTTCGAGATGGTTTCAACCGATCCGGGCTTAATTTGTAGCACGTTCTTATGGAGAAGGGGCGATGAGGTCCATTCGATCGTCTCGTCGCGTTGCCAGATTAGTTAGCGCGACTTAAGACGGCTGTTGATGCTACCGCTTCTTGCCACGTCCCCCCATCTCCATTTTTGCCGCTAAAACATCGTCCCTAATTAATCTCCTCGGTCTCTCCCGCATTGACGCTGCGCTAATATGGACGAACGGTGACAATGGCCAGAAGAGACAGAGCTTGGAATCCGCTGAATTCGACGGCGTGGCGAGCGAGCGAGAGAAAAAGTCGCCCAACGTTTAACACCGTCCAAAAGGGATTATGGCCGATAAGGTCTAGCCAGAACGAATCCTAATGCATATTTGTAAGGCGTTTAGCTGTATTTAACTTAAAGCTGTATTTAACTTAAACCAGCCAATGTATGTTTTACTTGATAACGTCGATAATTGCTGATGTAAACAAGAGAGTAACGGAGAGATGTCGAAAGTTTGGTGCAAGGAAGCGCACGTTCTGTTTAATCTGTATTTTTCTACAATATTAGAATATGTCAGAGACTTAACTGTCTCTGAGTTTGAGTTTGCCCTACTTGACATTCCTTATTATATACATTTGTGAACAAACTTCATGAAAACATATTTAATATTCACTTAAGTGTACTGTATTCGTCGAGAGAAAACTAAATACTCAACGTTCGACTCGCGAATAAATGAAAAATAAGATAACGCAATTTTTCGAGCAAAGTACAAGCCAACACTATTTTACATAAATAAGTGAAAGACTCCATTTCTCAGATAAGTTGCAGATTCACGCAAATCTCTCTGCGCGAAGAAATCTTTCTTCGATAAAAGCGATAGTAATATAGCAGCGAAAGTAATATTGACGACAGTGGTCGACGATGAAGAGTCCAATTGTGAATCCCGCCGAATTCGCCGCAGAGCAGCGGCCGACCGGGAGAAAAACTTGCCCGATGCTTAATACCGGAGCGACGAGTCAGAGCTGACGAGGGGAAGGACGGAGTTCCGCTAATGGGAATTTGCGAGACGGCCATAATGTTCTCCGGAAACGTACGGGATGCACTTAACGTCTTACTTGAATGTAGCACGGCTCAAAAAGCGCGCCGCGGGAACTGGTCCGCAGGTGGCACTTGAGCGTCGTAGTTCAGGCCGAGACTGAAAAGGGCGTACGCGGTTAATTGGGATAATCGCCACAGTAAATCCGCCAAACGAACTCCGCTTCTGGTGGTATCTCTCTATCGAGGCAGCTTTTAATTTCTCGTTGCGGAATGCCGCGTGCAGAAGAAAACCGCGCCGACGCGCGGTATATACGCGAAAAAGCGTCGGATGCATAATACCCCGGAGAGATCGCGTCTTGAATCCTTGACGCGCGTAAGCTCAATTTGTCGCTCAACGAGACATGCCTCCCTCCGCGACGTGAGACGCGAGCAAGCAAAAATGCGCGCGATATCGATCGAGACGCGATCGTCCAGTGAATCGCATATGAAGAGCACTCTGAAACCGAGATCACGTCGCACAAAAAGATTCCCGCAAAAAGACAAGTGCGAAACTTCGCGCGTTCCTTTTTAAGCTTCGTTAAGCTAGCTCAATTTTTTATATCTCTTTCGAAAATCGATCGACTGATCTTTATACGCCGTACAGAAAACAGCAAGCCATTTATTTAAATTTTGCTTTACATGTTCTTAAATTTTTGACGATAAAAAATGTTTAAAACTACTTGTATTTCTGTTTTCAGTGACCGAAACTATTTTGGTAGAAACCATCTCGAAAGCGAATGAATAATTGATTAGACAAGTTGATATATCAGTTAATTATTAATGTCGACGCACGGTTTTTTCATTAAATAGTAAGAGGATAGCGCGCGCTACAGTTCTCGGAAGTATTAAAATTAGCATTGCGCAGACTCGCCGAATTTTCATGTGATTTCCGCGGATTTTCAACATTCATATCCATTATGACATGTGAAGAATAGAAATGGATGGAGATGATGAGGCTCGGTGATAATTTAAATCGTAGAGGTTTAATGCGATTAAGTTATTAAGTCAGCAGAGTGCGTTAAACCGTGAGGAAAAATTTA